CGAACAACAAGAGAACAACAAGGAAGGACCGAGGAGTCTCATCTTTCCCCCGGCCAGCGCTCTTATCCCGCGACTCGCGTTTGATCTCGCTACCTACCGCTCCAATCCCTTCTCTGCCTTTGCTAGAGCCCGCGGCTCGTCCCACCACCCTCGCCAGTGAAAAAGTAATCGGAACAATCAGGASAGTAAGAATTAAWGGGGGGGAAATAATAATAATAAAGAAAAAAAACCTCCCTGCCCTTCCCTGTTTGGGTTAAAAAGGAGAAGTAGCGACATGCAAATGACAAGCAAATTGGAAGGGACAAAAAGAGGCAGCCCTAATAAACAAGACAAAGAGGAGGCTCAGAGCGAGTTTAAAGCAGGGGACAGGGAACTTAAGCGGGGGGGAAGACAGGAGGAAGCTCGGAAAAACAAAAAGAAGTAAAATACTCGGTGCCTTTTCCGTCTCTACCAACCTGTCCTGCAAGCGGCGGGATAAAATAAAGCCCAGGAAGCCCCAGAAGGTGCAGGGGGTGGGGGGAGGATCGCCCAGCACCGAGCAGKTCCCTCGCTCTTCAGCACCCAGGGCGAGGAGCCCACGCAGCCCGCGGGCCACGAGCGGTGCCGCTTTGCGCACGGGGGGACCGGCTAGTGCCCCGCTAATAAAGTCACGGCAAATTCTGCCTCTCCTGGGGAAAGAAGCGCAGGTTGGCTAACGGTGAGCGGGGATTTTGCCGGGAATTATTTATTCTTTTTCTTTTTCCCCCCCTAGAGCGTTTAAAGCAGCCCAAGCAAGTGCGAACTAATGCAAATAAAAATAATAAAAATGAGAAAATAAAAAGAAGAACAGGAAAGAAAAGGAAGGAAAGGAGGAAGGCAGAGAATACTTACTCGGTGCAAAGGCGACGAAACTGAGCCTCTTTTTTTTATTATTATTATTTGTGGTGTTGCCGGCGCAAAGAGGGAGAGCGAGGGGAGCGCACGCACGCACATGCACTCCGCACACACACCGCACGGCGCGCGCGCGCGCACCCGCCGCACG